CTCTCTTCCTACCTTGTTCAGCAAGGAGAAATATATAGATGTACCGTTTCAGTCGATTACGTTATGCTCTTCCCATGGCCATGGCTAAGTGTTCCCCTATCAAGTGAAATTCACTTCCATGCAGTTAGTCCTGAAATAGGCAGGGTCTTGTACCTGCTCCTGGATTGATGGGTTTCCTATTCCTGAGAAATGAGCGGGAGTTATAAACATCTGTGCTTTTTCTTAAGTGTAATGCTTTCCAGTCATTCTGTCTTCACCAAGCGTAACTTACTTGCCGACAAAAGTGCATGAGCAGCGCTCCTCTTTAATAGTCTGCTATTGGAGCTGCTGTGTTGGTGCTGTAGAATGGTGAGACGCCACGCTGTGAACCACCATATGCACTTGGCAGTCTTTGTCTGGTCTTTGTTCAGCCAACCTCTTAGCCTTGCCACCTATAAAGATAATGAATGCAAAATGGTCCTCTGCTTGCTCTTAAAATTAGATGCTCGGCTTAAAGAAAAAGTAGATAACTTGATGCTTTGCAGTAACTAGGAATTTCAAAATAAGGGCTGACAGTTCACCAGCAGCACTGATTTTCCTGCTTTTTTGATGTTTTTTGAGGGAGAATCCTTAATGGCTTTGAAAGGCGAGAAGAATGCAAGATTTCACTATTTGGAAGGGGAAATTGTTTTTAAGGTTAAATCCTTACTTGAATTAACCACTTACTAAACTGTATTTCATGAGCAGAAAGGAACGGCTTTAATGCCTGACCTTCCTTTTTTGGAGATACGTGATTCTAGCTTGTATGTTTTTACGATCATGGTCCTTTCTAAGCTGGTTTTAATGTAATAACTTGGTCCTGGCTGAGGCCTCGTATGAAAACTTTTAAAAGCGAGCCTCTTACAGCAATTTATCAGGCCTGTTTAGGATTGATTTCCATTATAAAACCCTGGTTACAGCATCCCAGATGTCTTGGTGCCTTGCAGGTTCTATATCTTGTTTAAAAAAAAACAAACAAAACTCTCAAAAAGCCTTGATGTACACAGAATCCTCCTGACAATTTTATGACATCCCAAGTGGGGTCTTTTGGTTGTGGTTTGTTTTTGGTGTTTTTTTTTTTTTTCCCCCTTGTCTGCCATTTCTCAGCAAACAGCTCTACCCTTGCCCTACCTTCTGGCAGTACCTTCTCTTCCCCTTCACCAGACCAGCAAAGCTGAGCTGCCTAGACGGTGCCTGATCACGCAGCACTGCAGTGGGCACACGAGCACACTGCTCCTCTGATGGCTTCCCGCAGCCTGCTTGCTTTCTGCTAGCCCTGCTCTGCCACGCTGGCTGTTCGCAGGGTCCAGCTCCTCCTTTTGCCAACAGATGCCACTTCTGTCTCCTGAGGTGTTGGGCTGGAAGCTGGCTCTGTGAGAAGCTGGGCAGAGCCGTGTTCAGTGAAGGACAGGTTATTTGGGGGACGAGGCGGGAGAGGTACAGAATGCAAACTTCTGCCTTAACATACGCGCTCCTGAGCTTGTCTGCAAGTAACTGGAAAACCACCCTTTTCCTGGCACAGCTCTCCCTAAGCAGTTTTTCTGTATCTCTTTAAAACCTGTTTAGTTGCTCACTACTGAATGCGTGGGAATGTGGCCTAAGGCTATGAATACTGTGGTGATCAAACTGATTTTAGATGTGTGTGTGGGATTCCCCCAAAGCTGGCTGTCATTACTCTGTCAGCGCAGTGGCTGAACCTGTGCAAAGGAACGCTGTCTTCCTGAGTAGCTGACTTTGGCAGTGAGGACAGGATTCCCCCCACATACCCAGCAGTTTTTAACCAAATGTTTGCTATAGACTGTGCATGCCCTGAGATAAACTATAGCCTATCTTTTCTCTAAAACAAGTAATAATTGGTTTTAATCATGAGGTTAACAGGACAAAAGTCTCCTGGCAAGGTGGTCTTTCTTACTCATGCTGGAAAAGCCCTTGTATTTCTTCTTGTCCACCTTCTCTTGTCTTATTGATGCTCTTCTTTTTGGAGGTGGCAGCTTAAGTTTTGGAGCATCAGTCTTTCTAGAAATGGTACATGTATGTAGTGTCAGGGAGCAGGAGTGAAAAACATAGCCATGATATTATATGCTACCTACGGAGTTTGGTTTTTTTTTTTAAGGATCTCCTGACAACCTATTTCACCAGAATTTAGGCCTGTCGTAATTCCTCTATGATTTTTGGCAGCCAAGCAGACTCAGTGCAGTTAATTGTTAGGCAGATTAAAAGCATAGGGGCACAGAGAACAACAGTGGCACCCCTTCACAACCTTTTGTTTTCCACAGGTTCCACTGTTTTATATAGTTATTCTGGGGTGTTCAGGAGCGCTGGTGTTGCCATGCTGATCCAACCACCATTTCAGCTTTTCAAAGTAGCCATTATTGCTAGATTCAGAATAAATCCTCAAAGTACAGGCTTCTTCAGTAGATACAGGCACAGTGGTACATTGTTGCATTGAGGAGGAGGAATTCTTTCTCTGCCGTAACAAGCTGTTTGGCTTAAAAGTACAAGTTAGCCTCCAGTATACGTACGCGTAAAATACTACAGCCTGTGTAGTACAAATATTCTGTTTCTTTTCTCCTCGCAGAGTGATATTAGGGATAAGAACTGAATTAAAGCTTACTTTCTTTCACAGAATTCCTCTGAGAGAGAAGACTGTAATAATGATGAGCCCCCTAGGAAGATCATTCCTGAGAAGAATTCACTTAGACAGGTATGTGATCAGTCTCTTTAAAAATGCAATAAAACTTTCTAGCTATTTGAATCCGTAAATGCTTCTGGAAGCTGAAGTCTGACTTGTGCTCATGGAAATCCTTTCTTTTCTCCTTTGAAGTCTGAGCAAGTCACATTGTATCCAGGAAAATCAGACACAGATATTTAGCTTTCAGGAGAGTTTGATGACTCTTTCTAAAGAAATCTAGACTCCTGTGTAGTGCAGTCAGCTCTGACTCTCTAGATTTACCTTTCTCCATTTGGTGTTCATCAAGACCTCTTCAGCCCTTGCTTCTGTAATTGTTCCTGTCTTATTTGTAGTATATTTTGCCTTGCTTCAGATCAAGAATCTCAGTGTTCTATAACAATTAAGCTTTTCATTGCTCTTGACGGTAAATTTTCTTGGAGGTGATGTCCAGGTTAATAACCTGAAAAATGATCTATTCTTGTTTCTTCTACACTTATATAAATTACTAATGGGTAGAAAGGAGAAAGAGTGGTCTGAGAAAACATAATCTCTTTGCATTCTATAGTAAAGAAAATTTCTTACCAATTCAAAATAATAACTTTTTTTAATCCCCATGGCCAACAAAGGGGGTCTGGCTTGCGATTTCTTGGGTATTTAAGTTGGATTTAGTGATTTCAGATCCTTTTTCACATAGCACCTTGCTCTTTCTCCCCCCTGCAACCTTGAGGCAGCAGAAGCAAAAAATATGTCTGTGCCTCAGCTGCCCGAGTTTGCTGCCTGGTATATCAGAGTAAAACCATTGATGAACGTGACTTAAGTGAATACCCCAGGCCACACATTGCAACAGCTGAGGAATTGGCACATTTCCTTCTGCATCTCGGCTACAGGAGCAGCAGTCTCAGGAGAGGAATCGGGTGGTAATACGCTGCCCCACTGCTGCTATTTGCAAGAGAAATTGTGGGTCAGAACCATAGTAAAGGAAGAAATATCATTTTGATATAGTGTACTTGTTCTCAGAGTTGTTGCTTTTGGGGGGTGGGGTGGGGTTTTTGTTTTGTTTTTAAATAATATGTTGTGTTAGGAGTGTGTAATTTTGTGGGACTGGGTGTCATGTGAAGGACGACATGTGGCTAGGACAGGTCCAGCTAACAAATGTAGTCCATGTAAGTCTTTTAGACAAGAGTCAATACACTAGGATAATACGTAAGGTCCCAGAAACTGCTGAGAAAGATTACCTTGTGGAATTGATTAAATATGTTACACCAAACTTAAAATGTTTCTGGCATTCAGCAGCAAACAATGAGAACTAGAGGCAGAGGGCAAAGCTATTCGGTCCCTACTGTGTATCCCCAGGATAGCCAACACTGTCACCAGCGCAACAGATAACTGGGTTTTTTTATCTTAGAATTATCTTAGTGTTGGCAAGCCTTCAGGTTCAACAAGAAACAGTGTATGTCTCTTCTCCAAGAAAACGTTCACAGTTAAGAGTTGTTAAGTCAAAAGGAACTTGAGTTACCTGTCGTGTGCCTTTTCATCACACTGAGTCCTTCTTTATGATTATTAATTAAGGAGAAGACAAATATTCACGAGCAGTATTATACAAATAAGAAGGTACAGTTTCTTGAGTTGGGTTTCCCTTCCATTATATTTCAATCTGCAGAAGTATTCTTATCATCCAGGGAAAGCTGTCTTTGCAACAAGCCCATGATTCATCGTAACCAACGTGCCTAGATATCAAGAATACACCTCAAAACCCACTACTGTATAGATATTTCATACTGGAAATAATTCACGTGGACATTGTTTAAGTCAAAGCTGGTTAGCTATGTTTCAGGATATTGTTGAGATGTTGTATGAGTTTCCATCTTTGTGTCCAGTCTTTACAGTGACAGATGCAGGTCAAACCCCTTGGGTCTTCCGATTGCTGTCTGGGGCCTTTTGTGTTGAGAAGTATTTGTGGACAAGTTCAAGATGTAGTCTTAGTCTTAAAGCAAGTGCCCTCTTGTCTAGATCATAGGAGGTGGTTGACCATGATTTTGTGCCTGCTGTAGAAGGAATTTTGGTTCTTTGTGTAGGCGTAAATAAAGCTGTCTAAGCATTTTGGAACCTCGAATTGCTCCTCTTTTCTTAGTGATGGACGAGAAGCAGAGGGGAGTTTTCCAACTCCAGCTGCAGAAATCAGGCACATATGAAGCCATGTGCCCACATACTCATTATCAATTAGCAGAGTGATACTTACTGGGAAGATCTGCATCTCCTGCAGGAAGGTATGCAGAGTGGCTATCCTGTCTTACATCTATCCATATTTTGCAAAACCAAAAAGATCTGACATGCAAATTACTGTCAAAGCAGTAATACACAAAAAGTGCTTTCCACCTTAGTGGAAAGATGCTAATTTGGTAAATATTCGGTGTACAGTTTCATATTTTCTGTCTCTCCCTCAACACACCACTATTAAAATTTCATTATTGGGGAACATGGACCTACATGCACAGAGGAATTGAATGTGTGTATGTGGATAGAGGAGAAGTCTGTTGACTTAAATGGTCTTTCCAGTTAAAGTGTCCACATATTTAGTACTTCTTGATTAGTTTTAGAAAATTAATGAGATGCATCAGACCACTTCAGGCGCAATGTGGTGTCTTGACATGTTCAGCTGCTGACAAGTCTAAGTAAAGGTGCATTACCTTTTCTTGCCTTGTTTGCAGTGCTGGTATGAAGCCTTAGCCATAAATGTTTTCTCAGGTGGGTTTGTGGAACACGCATACTAGAAGGTGGACCTAATAAGAAGGTGTAATGTTTACTTAAGCCTCTGAAGTTGTAAGCAGGGGCTGAAGACCCCCATTGCTTAGTGCTATGGACTTCTTATTAGGAGAAATAAAGTCTTCTGTTGATTAAAATGGTTCTTGGAAAAGGCTGTCTTCAGAAGTCTCAACAAGTGGAGCTGTGTCCTTGGTGTGCTGGAAGTGGGAGGCACGGCCACTCTTAGGTGCGTGAGGGGCAGCAACACAGAAGAGACATGGAGATTAGCCTTGGAAAAGGAAACGGAAAAAGGCAATGAACTTGACACTGTTGGCTGGAACAGTGAAAAGATCTAAGCTATGACATTTTGAAGTAAGGATGCAAACGTTCAGTTCTTGTTGAGTGCTTGATCTGACAAAATTACATTTTGAAGGGGCAAACTGAAAATCAGAGTATGAAAACAGACTCCAGAAAAAACAATGACAAGTGGCAAAAGTTTTTGGCAACTTTATTTAAGCTAACAAACGAATTTTCACACTGCAAAGTTATAAATTAATTTTAATAGGCTGATCCAGATGGTCCATTTGGAAAATGGATAGCTTGATCTGTTGAAAATTAAACTAAATTTATCTCTCTCATACTTCAAACTGAAGTAAGCGTGAGAAGAGTGCCCATTAAGTCCAGCTCATACAGATGGACCGGCAGGTCACACATGGGACTAATCTGATTCATTTTAAAAATAAATGCATGAGTTATTGAATCAGGTTCCTGTTTCAAGCCCTGCGTGTGAGCGCGTGTGTGTGTGTGCCGCCCTTTCAAAGGGACTCGCAAATGCTTCAGTGCCTTTTTAACCTGCGTGTTTCCATTTTAATTCAACTTCCTTGCCAAAAAACATAATTAGTTTTCAGTGCCTATCATTTAGCGTTAGACCCAAACACTAGATTGATTAGGTCAGGCATTTGTTATTTTAAGGGCTATGTCTCCATTCTTCATTTATGAAGAACATGAGCTCAATAGTCTTGGGGAGAGAGCCGGCCTTTAGAAACGGGGAAGGGGAAGCTCTCTGGGGGCCCCTCCAGCCTTTTAGCTTCTGGGTGTTTTTAACAGAGCCATGAATGCAGATTTGTAAATTTATTGCAGTGCCATCTGTTTTTTTTTTTTTTTTTTGCAGGAACCGTATTATTGTTGGCTCGTATCTGTCTATTGTGGTGGTCACTCCCCGGGAGCTTGCCCTTATAGTCCTAAGGAAAGTGATGAATAGTGGGGGTCAACATGAATAGGTCACAGGGCAGCTGTCCGGGGCTGCCCTGAACTTGATTACCCCGCTGGTTTTTAAAGAAGATGGGCACAATGCAGGTTGTTTAAAACCCTTCCCTGCCTTCTCTTCGGTGCAGCAATAATGAAGTGCCTTTTGCTGCTGTGGTTTGTCTGTGGGTGAAGGTGCCTTGTGGGGAAATGCTGGCAGCAGCGAGGCTGCTGCACTGTGCCTCCTGCGAACCTCACGTTGGACTCTGCTGTCTTTCTGTGAGCTTCCAGATGGAAGTCCGGGGGGATAAAATCCCTGTCTGTTACCCCATTCAAACGGGCCCCTTAGCATTTTCAAGAATTTTCCCTCTTACCATTTTGACACAGAATATCGTCTCAGTTCACTCTTACAGATTTGAGATCGTTTTACAAAATTACATGTAGCGCCTAAAACATGCTGTAGATGCTATTGCAAAGTTGAAATAGGCGCAGTCTGATCTTAAGAGTTTAAAGCCAATACACAAGCAAACAGTAAGTAGCAGAAAGCGGTTAAAGAAGGTGGAGCAAAGGAAAGACAAAAAGTAGTAACCGTCAACTGTTTACTTCCAGTTGGTGGCCTCATCCCGCTGCTTAGGGCTCCTCTCCAGGCGTATGTCTCCTCCTCAGAAGTATTTCTGCCGTGCAGAGTTGAAGCCCTCTTTTTGACTGGTGGGGAAGGTTACACAGCGAGGAGGGAGTGAGGGTCCTTCAGCTCCCTCCCTCCCTCCTTTCCTCTCTCTCTTCCTCCCTCCCTCCTTCCCTCTCTCCGGGGAGGACGCTGCAGCTCAAATTTGGCTTCTGTTGGAGAGCTGGCCAAGGCAGGACATACCTGGTCTATGAAGTTATCCTGGTTACCTCTTCTTTTATGCTATTAACGCTTGCAAGTAGGAGTTGCTGGCTGAAAAGCCTCCTGAAATTGCTGGAACTATGTCCTTAGTCTCACTTTTAAGATTATTCTTTCTGTTTAATTTTTTTTCTTTATGCTCAACAACAAAAAAATCAGTTCC